TTCATTTCCAGAGCACTAAGAGGCTTCTTTATGCAAGGATTTTTATTTTGCTAGCAATTATGTTGGATCAGTGTTAATAAACTGAAATTTTACTTTAAGGAAGCCCTGCAGATAGCAATTTAGATCACCTGTACTTTTTGTACTGAGGATAATGGTATTCATCATTAGCTCTTATATAAAGTGTAGTAGTTTTGTTGTTGAAATTTATTTTGTAATTTCTGTAGCTTTATAGAGCAGTGTGCAGCAGAGTATTCCTGCTATGTTAAATTATCTCAAGAAGTGGCTGCTTCATATACATTAAAGAATTTCAATTCTCCAGCAATTAAATTCCTTTCTGAAACTAGAGTCAGCAGTGATGCAGCTTTTATTATAAATTCCAGATTCAAGACTCAGTGATTTTTAGACAGCAATTCCTTGCAGCCTGGACTGCTGGGTTCCTCAGGCATCTTTCCTTGAGCAGCAGGTTTTTGGAGTAGGTTTAAAAAGAAAAATGCCATCTGTTCATCTCTCCAAATAATGCAAGATCTCGTATGATAGAATCCTTGTTTAATGAAGTGCAGAGCCACTCGGGGTGAAGAAACATTGGAGTCATCCTGCAGTGTTGTTACCGTCCCATTGAATAACTTATTGGAACTTGCACTAACTGTCTAGTTCATTTTGAAGATAGCTCTTCAGAAAATGACTTCACAGTTTATTACACTCTGGATGGCTCTGGGAAGCCCAGGGTTTATAACTTAGAGATGAACTTTTCGTGGCCTTATTATAGAGAGAAATTGGAGAGTAACAAGCATAGATGAGTTTAAGTGTAGAGGGAAATGGAATTTGTTAATAATGTACTTGGAAGGCCAAACCGTTCTTCATAAGTTACAAAAAAAATTGTCAGCACTTAATTGAGTGCCATAGGCTTGAACTCTCAGGATGTGTTAGATACCGAGCCACAAGCACCATCTAGCACTGGGAAATGGCTTGGGGAGAACACAGAGCCAGGGAAAAAGGAAGGGTGTAAAATATGTACTATCCTCCAGTGGCAGCCTTAAACGCAGCATTCCTTTTCCTTTGTATGGAAGAGGCTGGTAACTAAATCATTTCAGTTCAGTTGCTTCATTTCTTCGCTGTCTAACTTTGAGTAGCCCAAGTCCTCCTGTTTCATAGTTGGTAGGGTCGGAAGGGACCTGAGCAGATCATTAAGTCTGACCCCCCTGCCCTGGCAGGAAAAAGTACTGGGGTCAAACAACCCCTGTTTTGAAGTAAATGTGACAAAACCCATGTCCATTCCACCCAGCCAGCCATAATGTTGTGTTTGGTGGCTTTTTAGCCACCATTTCTCCCTCCCAAAAACCAAAACCTCAAACAAACCTAGGAACTGGAGAGGTGAAGTGGAGAAGGTTTTTCTTAAAGCCTCATCCTATCTTTTCAAACAAGAAAAATGTCTGTCTGAGCAACACAGTTGCTTTCTGGAAAATGTTGTGTTTTAACTAAGTCGGTAGCTCCAGGCCAGTTCTCTTCTCTGCAGGGGGGCTTTGGAACTTGCCTGCTCCAACCAAGTTCTCTCTCTCTCAGGAACTTAACCTTCCTATTTGTAGAACAAAATGCATGCCATCCGCTGGTCGATCTCAATTAACCCTCATGTTGATAGCCCACTCTGAAGAGATGCAAACCTCTAGAGCCTGAAATTGGGCCCTTTGCACAGTAGCATACCCATGGGACCCACCACTACTATTTGATTAGGCTCTCCTTTAAACTTTTGGTCTAATTTTGTGCATCCCCTCCATAGTGTGCCTTCAGGACAGCGTGTTGGCCTTTTGGAAGCATGGCATGCAAGGCAAAAGTTTTAAATCAGATGAGGTAAGTATGTACTGGCTCCTGCCACGGTGAGTTTAATTGTACTTTTGCTCATTTTCATCCTGCTCACCTACTGATCATCATGAAGGGGCCTTTGATTGCTGCTCCCATAAAGTTTGTTCTTAGACGTTGTTGCTGTGAGCTCAAATGCAGACTTTTCTCAGGCTCTGTTAGAAGCTGTTCTTCTTTTTTTTCCCCCTGGCCATGCTGCTGCAGGAGCAGCGGGCTGACACAAGTAAGGCAACAGGGCAGATGTTCTCAGAGACTGAAAGGGCTGGGCCTGTATACATCCTGCTGGGTTCTTGGTAAAACCCACCCAGAAGATGCTTCTAAATGTCATCAAGTGTTCAAGAAATCCTGTACTCTTGCCTGAGACATATTGAGAATGTGCCATATCAGGAAATATAATTCTAATGAAAACGAATCAGACTAAAAAAATACTAAGTTGACAGAGTCCCTTTAACATGATGCACCTCCAGCTGAAAGTCGGTCTGTCTTCTGAGAGCTGAGTAAAGTGCTTTAAAGTTCCATCAACTAATCCTCTGGTCTCTTAACTATGAATATCGGAAGTAATTTAAGCTTAATCCTGTTTTGTGAGGTGTCACCACCAACGTTTACTTAGTGTCTGTGTATCTGCACAGATCTAAATTTTGCACTAAATTGTATTTGCAAGAGTGACTTAAAGATGCTGCCTAGTGATTTTTTTTCTCTTCTAAATAAGATGAATGAATTTTATTTTATCACTTAAAGGGATTTTGTCACTAATGCTTTTCTCTTGCAGGTTACCCAAGAGATATCAGATGAAACCCGAGTTTTCCGCTTGTTGGGATCAGACAGGTAGTTTATTTTAAATGGATAGCTTGCATTCATTTTAAATATGCGTACTGAAAATTAATTGAAATTCAGCGCCAATCCGAGGCAATTCTCTCAGCCTCTTCACTTGTTCAGAGGAGACAACAAGACTGTGTATTGCTGCATGCAGCCACTGTGTGCTGAATTGTGACGCGATTGATAGCAAAATGAGACCTTTTGCTTCAAATAGACGGTGGACTTTCTTGATGCAGCTTTTGTTAATACAAACACAGTTTGTGTAGACTAGATTAACTCTGTGTGCTGTACCTCTGCAGAGGAAGAATGAACCGCGGGTGACAGAGGCTAACCAGGTTGTATACTGTAGTCCTGGAGGGTCCTGGACCTGATAGCTGTGGGTGGGGTTGTCGGGGGAGAGTTAGTCATGAACGGTCCAACCCAGATAACTGGCTTGTAGATGCTCTCTGCGGTTCTGTGACTTGAGGTCTGAACTAAGACAGCAACAAGCCTAAGCAACTTAGGTATTCATACCCAACAGGCATGCTCAGTCCCGGAGCCATCTGGTCTTAAGCAGAAACACCTACTGGAAACTGGTACCATCTAGTTAATCCACACACTCCAAGCAGATGTCTGTATGCAGGTTTCACGCATCAGCAGAGGCTGCCCCAACCTCTGTCTCAGCATGCAGTGTGTACGCCTGAGGCTCTTGGCTTCTCAGAGAAGTGGCGCAGCTAGTGGATTTAAGCATGGGGGCCAGGAGATCAGTGTTCTGGCCCCAGCTCCTCTTCTAGCTCATTTGGTTCTGGCTAATGTCAGTCATGCCCAAATGCTCCAAAGGGACCTTCTAATTTGGGGTTTTCCTTTTAGACCCAGAGGCTTTGTGTTTTTGGCAGAGGGTGCAGGGTCAGAACCCATTCCAGGTGGATTTAAGGCCAGTCCCCTGTGAAGGTCAGACTTCACATCAACATCAAGGACACTTGAAAATTTAGGCTTTAGCTTTTCTGTCTGTCATTCCTCTTATATAGATGGGGAAATGGTTCTCTCCTCCCTTCCTTGCTCCTAGGGCATTAGTGAATTAGCTGGGTGTGCAAAAGTCTTTTGCTTATGTTGAGTCCCAGTGCTAAGCACTGTTTAACTCAAATGCAAGGCAGCAAGTAAGCCTCCAGATACATTGGAATCGATACCTTTAGCGTGCTATGCTCTGGAGTTGACATGGAAAACTGGGAGGGTCCCAAGCGCACACAGAAATGGAGGGCATGCTGCTCAGCACTGCTGCGAGTTCCCACTCTCTCACCGTGGAAGGATACTTCTGAATAATCAGCCAGAACAAATCATGCAGGAAAGCAAATTGCCCTCCTACCAGATCTTGGCTTCCCACACAACTGAGCCAATTCCATGGCTCCACGCAGGGTATCCAGCCCTGGGCTGGTCGGGGAGGGCAGTTCGTAAACTGCCACTATCATCTATTCCAGGGCCAGTGTAATGGGGTCCCTTCACTCCTCATTATGGGGATTCTTTAAGGAGAAACCATACAGGCTGGAGGCCGCACCTTTGAGAGCGGTATAAAGGAAAGGCCCCAGCAGCAAGGGAAGCAGAAAGGCTCTGGCTGGGGAGAGGTCAGGGCCTCTGGCTGGAGGAAGAAGAGAAAAGACGCAGGAGTACTGATGGGGGTAAGTCTGGGGAAAATAGAGGGAGGCCTGACTGGCCACAGCATGGGGCAATTTGGTGCTGAGCCTGTTCAGAAAGAGAAGCTTCAAAAGGAGGGGAGACTAGGGAAGATGAACCCAGAGGATGTACCAAGGGGAAGAGACTACAGGAGAAAATGTGACATATTAGCAGGACCAGCAAAGCCACAGATCCTGCCAACTAAACGCTCCTTCCCCCCAGCTGCTTGTGCACAGAGTAAAATCAAGATGTGGCAGTGAGGGACAGCTGAGGACAAAGACCAGCTATTGCAGAGCAGGGAATGCAGGCAGCAGTGCACTGGGAGCAGGGGGGAAAGTGCAGGCTGTATGACAAGGGCACTTTGCTCTCAACTTTTTCTTTGGAAAACATTATGGAGTGAGCTAGTCCGCCCCTGCGGGATCCACCCCAGGTACAACCTAGGTGGAATTCAGCGTGCGTGTGATTGACAGAAACCCCATCTAGCCATTTAAGCACCAGAGAGTCCCTTTTCACTATGTAATACTCTACTACAGCACATATCTAGATCTGCCACTGTCTTAACAGGGTTAAGTGCTCGGTGCCTGAGAATGACTGCGATGCAGTCGTGGGCAGCTTGACTTGACATAGTCCCAACAAAACCACCTTGGAATAGTTTAGACAGGGAGGATCCTGCCTTGAGCAGGGTCAGGACTAGACAACCGTTAGAGGGCTTTCCAGCTCCATTTTTCTATGATGCTAAATGCCCGAGGGGTAAAGATTGGGCAGGCATGCCCAAAGCACTTCTAGCACATACTGACAGCGCTGAGCTCAAGCACCCATGACCATTTCCATAAGAAACATCCCAGGAGCTGGTGGTGGTGCCCACCTTTTATATGATTGTTTAGTGGTTACTGTACTCGGAGAGAGCGAGATACCTGGGTTCACTGCCCTCCCCACCTGGAGGGGATTTACATCCCCTTCACTCACATCTCAGGAGAGTACCAGAGCCACCAGGCTGGGAGGAGAAGGCAGTCCTTCCCCATCCTGTCATGGTAGAAGGCAATGATCTGTGAGTAGGTCTTGACTTCTCAAGCCAAGTAGCATCTCTGGGTGCTTTTCTTGCCTCCTGATCTCCATAACGCTGTGGTGGTAAAATCTCTCATCCTGGATTCTTGGGCTAGAGTAGCCAGGGATGCTAGTTCTCGACCACATGATGGAGCTGCATTAATTTGGTGGCTTCCTGTTAGGTTTGCTTTATTGAAGTCAACTTGTCACAGGGCACGTCTACACAAGACGCTTACTGCGCGGTAGCCTAATAACACTGCGCAGTAGTGTGCCAGTCAAAAACCTACTAATAAGCTACTGCACAGTGTTATTAGGCCACTGTGCAGTAACCATCACAAAAAAAATCATGTGCCAGCACTACTGCACAGTAAATGTAGTTACTGCCATTCAGTTAGTACTTCATTAAGGAAGTACTAAACTAAATGCGCAGTAACTATGGTGCATTAATGACCATGTAGATGCAACCACAGAGTCAAAACTGCAGGATTGGCATCTGGTTGCAGTGGGTCTGACCTGTGGCTCCAAAACTTGCCTGAGAAAGAAAGGTGGAAAATATTTGAGGAACTCCTCAGCTCTAATCCTGGCTCCCACAGTTTCCATCTTTAAAATAGGTTTGTTATGACTATAAAAGTACTGAGGAGTAGAAAAGCAGGGATGAAATTTTACACAAAGTACCAGGCTTTCACCGGGGACTAATAACAGCTATGTCTGGGAGCTGATCCTTTCATAACAACAGGAGGAGAAAGACATGGGTGTACTAGCTGGTTGCAGGCTGTGAGGCATCCATGGAAAAGGTGAATGTGATCCTGAGATCCACTAGAGACAGGGAAGTATCAATGCTATTGGCAAGCACTAGTGAGACTTCATTTGGAGTGCTGCTCTGGTTCCTCCAAGTTCAAGAGCAACGAATCCCAAATGAAACAGATACAGAGAAGGGCAGCTAGAATGACCAAGGGGGTAGAAAGCCTATTTTATGAGAGCAGTGGCTTGCTTAGTCCAGAAAAACGGAGGCTGAGTGGGGATACAGCCACTCTAGAAATGTATAAATGGGGTAGACACCAGGCAGGGAGAAAAGATTTAAGCTAAAGGATAGTGTTTTCACAAGAGCAAATGGGTATAAACTGGCCACGAATAAATTTCTAACCATTTGAGTAGTGAGGTCCTGGGAGAGCTTTTCCCAGGAGTAGTGAGGGCAAGAACCCCAATCTCTCCCCAAACCCCCCCCCTTCCCCACCAACCCCAGCTATTTCAGAACAAGGTTGATCACTTTATGAAAGAGAATGTAGACTGCGCCTGGGACCACAGGGGACTGAACTTGCTTACCCTGTAGGCCCTGCCCAGTCCTATATTCTTAGTGAATGCTGCATTGAAACCTTTAGCTCTAATGATCCAAAGTGTATTAATAATAAGGTGTAGGTTGTAGCCGTGTTGGTCTAAGGACACAGGCAGACAAGGCTCTTTGGGTAAATATGATATCTTTTATTACACCAACTCAGATAGTTGGAAAAATTCTTCTTTGCAAGCTTTTGGGTACAAATACCCTTCATCGGGCTATTTTTTAAAAACAAAATCCTAGCATTTAAGGTATCGTTGCATATCTTTGCCCCTGTGATGAGTTGGTGAGCAGTGGGGCGATTCTGCTCTGATCTTGCTAATGACATGATGAGATTTCTGTGTTACCACTGACCAGTCTGTGTTTGTGCTTTAATTGCAGGGTTGTGGTGTTAGAAAGCAGGCCAACAGAAAATCCTACCGCACACAGCAATCTCTACATCTTGGCTGGACATGAAAATAGTTACTAAGCAACAGTAACCCAACGCAAAAAACAAGCGAATGAATACAACACATAAGGAAAAGAGGAACCATTAAGGAAACTCGATACAAGCTGGACTAGGACTTGCTATTCCTTTTTTTTTTTTCTCGATACCTTAACGATCTGGTGTGTAGGGTAGAAGTCGATATGTTTTTGCAGCTGGAAACGGCTGGTTCCGTCTCTTGCCACTGTGTGGTTGGTTATATCAAGTTTGCTTAATAAAAGCTCTGAGTTAAATAGTCTTTCACTCCTTAGACATAAAGAAACACAGCCATTAAGAAATAATGTATGCGATATAGGTGCCATAAAATGTTAAATATTTTACTTCCTTTGGATTGTCTTTTCCTGTAGATACATAGCGCTGGCTGTTTCCCCTTTTATACCAAGTCTTATTCTTAATAAAGAGGATTCATGTAGGAAGTGAGGGTATCAGCAAAGCTTTTAGTTTTTAAACCTGCCATTCTGTATGGCTTTGTAAAATAGACTATTTAATCCTTATTTATTAATCTGCTGCTAGGATGGTGTAATGTATCTAACTTTTAGCGAAGAAAGGTTGCAGAGCAGCTTACAAGTTTGTTTGTTTTTTACAATTGTATAAAGATTTGATTATTCTTTCTCCTTGTAGAGATGTAGTGCGTTGTGAAGGGGGTTATATTCCACTGTTGGTTGTTCTTGTATAAATGCAGTTTTGTACAACAAAGTATTTTGTATTGATTTTCCCTGCAGCATTGCCATAAAAGGGAGTTTCTCATTTACTGAAATAATTACATGTAGGTTGTATACAAAATGTAATATTGATGATCTCTGATATTTTGCTAGTGGGTGGGTGTGCACTGTGTGTGCATGTGTGCGTGTGTAGTTGACAGGCAGCCGTGTATTTTATAGCGGTAAAATGCACACGTTTTATTTTCATACATTAGAGCGAACTCTGGGGAAATTTATATGAAAGCCTTAAGTGGATTGTACCTAGTCATCCTTAATGAATGAAAATGAAATGCATCAAGCTGCCCATGACGCATTGTATTTATACTATTCCAGAGGGGAGCTGGTAGGACAGCTATGCTGACAAGGTTCTTGTTTGTATGGTTGTTTAGGTCACTACTTGCCAAGCTGTTGTTCACTGATGACTATTTCCCAACTGCATGGTGTGTGTGTGTGTGTGTGTGTGTGTGTGTGTGTGT